TAATCCTTAGGATTGGGACAGAAGGGATGAAAATACAGTCCCAAGTGATTATCTTAATTGGGTTTCTCTAGTAGAAATCTTCTGGATTTCTGACTCCTTTCCTTTTACTTCTCCAAGACTGACTTAAGTATTTGGAGTAGAATTTTGTTTTATGGAGCCTCATTGCTTAAGAGGGGGAGCCTTAGATCTACTTAGTGTTCTTTTGTGTTTTCACTCATCTCTATTTTGAACTAGTGGTTGGAGTGGTGGGTGCTCATGTGATTGGTTCCACCTGAGTGTCAGGGATAACTGGGCAAATGCTGAACTGCAACTGGTTCTACCTGAATGTTAGGTACAGTCTACGCCTCCAACAATTTCCTACCATCTCAAAGTTTTTGCCCCACCTCTACCTAGGCTACCAAATCTCCCAGATAGATATTCAGAGTCTCCAAAATGGGACATATGGAGCCTTGTGGCTTCCTTACCTATGGTGCAGAAACGAAGAGTAATTCAGGCTCCTTTGCATAATGTTGACTATCAATCATTGCATGCCATTCTGGTAATAGCCCAATGATTAAGGCATCTCCTAAAGCAAGTGTGCCACAGGTAGAATATTGTCACTCCATGTTTTAATACTAACTTGGATGATTAGGATATTTCTAAGGTATCCCCACCAACTCTGGATTCAAATCCTGCAGAAACTGACATCCTACCCATTTAATGTCCTTCCTCTTTTCTCTCCTATCGACTTCTCCCTACAACCCACTAGAAACTGGAGGTTCAAGATTTAGGTTTTTTAAATTCCTCAGCATTATTTCCTTCTTTTATCTAATGCAGAAAACTTAGTTTTCATGAACAAAGAGATGTCCTTTCAATACTTGGAAGAATTCAAACTATAATTTTTTAGTATTCATTCATGATCTAGTAAATGAAAGCTAAGGAAATCCTTTCTTTATCCACTAATCTCAGATTTCAAGATGAGCTTTTACTGCAAAATTCTGCTTTAAATATCAAAACTGAATATTTACTTTTTTCCCTTAAGTATTCTTCACTTCAGCCTTTAACATTCAATCAACCGACCCCAAGGCAGAAAATTTAATTACATAAAATGTCAAAGGAGAAAAGCACATTGACATAGTTTAGAACTGTTAGAAATGGATGAGACCAACACTCATTTCTCAGGATTACAAAAATCATGTATCATAGCTTCATAATAGAGAAATCTCTTGTCAAATCCAGAAATGGGATTTTACAAAAAGTATCATGGGATCGATAGCAGTCAGAATAAATCTCTGTCCCAGTAACATTCAGACAATAAAAAACAACCAACTAATTGCCCATGCTTTGGAAGTTTACAGGAGAAATTTAATATTTCCTCTGGTTATGACCATTAACCAATTCCAGTGACAACCATACCCAGAATATGGTTACTACTCAAAAACATTTGTTGTATGAATCAACTAAAACATTTCTTTATCCCTGAGAGATCTATTGTTTGAAAATCTTAAATATCTAATGGAACCACATGTCCCTGTTACACAGGACTCTACCAGGTCGGCTACAACAATTGTTCTGGTAGTATTGGCAACTGCCCCTCAAAACAACACCAATGTATTGATAGTCTTCAATGATTTAATCCTTTATATCCCTATGGGTGTAAGCTTGTCAAAAAATCTAAACTCCATCAATTTCATCACAGCTAATAATGACACTTCTATAGATAATATTCAAGTCATCTCTCATCTTTGGTGATCAAAGAATAGCTGTAATTGAAATTTACTCTTACCTAATTTTTGTTTTCCATTATAATTAACCCATTTTGAGAGTTTAAGAGATGATTCATTACTGAGTTATCTGTTCATAAATGATGAAGTTTTATTGAAAATAGGTTTCTTTTCCTAGGGATAGTCACATATTCCTACTCCAAGAACTATCCATTCACTGGAAAATATTAGCTAAAACTACATCTGATTGTTATTTTGTGTATCATAATCAAATCTATACAAAGAACTATACTTGGGAATTACGAACATACTTACCATACTCTATTAAAGTCCTCAACTTTCTGAAGGATTATAAATAAAAAGGCCTTATAAAAAGTCAGCATTAAATTTGCAAGACTATTTTAATGTGTTATAGAAAGCTAATGGTTTAAGGGGGCTTCTAGTCCAATTTAATTCAAAGTTTCAGGTACAAGGGGTGATGTATTTAACTCAGCCTATTGTAAAGAATTTTCAAAATACTTAAGCTACTTCAAATACTAATGCTACTTAGCATTCATACTGAAAATTTTGTGCATATCATCAGGGATATCTTGAGGCCAATATCATAGGAGAATGATGAATAAGGCTTTTGAGTTCACTTATTCAATGTGCCACACTGTAGTTAACACAAATAGTAATGTTGATTTAAGATATGTCTATTCAGAATTTACTGCAGGCTTATTATATACAAATAAGAATGCATTATAGATGATGTTATTTTTTACATCCTCATGTTAATTTTACCCTAAAATGTTTAATATTTCCTGGGCAACAGAGATATTTGACCTTTAATTAAGATTAAGGGTTTTAGATTGTAAAAGTATAAAAAGATCCAGAGGGAAAATAAGGTAGTACAGCATTGCTATTTTGGAGACTATTTCTTTGCAAACATGTAATATCAAATTAACAGATTTTTTTTATCTATACTTTTTGAAAATCACAACCATCCTACAGTAGTTGATAAAGGTTTAACTGACCTCTCTCTGTTGATAGACAGACACACACACACACCCTGTGAGGCTGGCTTCATCTCTATGCAAGATTGTACAGGTGGAGAGTGGCTTATCTAGATAGACACTGAACCTAGGATTTTTGGCTCCAAAGTCTTAAAACCATCACCCTCTTCTACCTAGATCATCTTCAGTTTTATTGTTTCTATCTCCACAACCAGGAAATAAATACAAATCTCATGCAATTATGTCATCCCTTTCCTAATATATACTGATATATTTTATGTTATTTGTCATGGTTTGTAGATTTTAATAGCTACTTGTACATATGAATCTCTCCTAGCAAACAATACTCTATACATGTGGCACATACCAGGTGTTATGGATGACACAAAGAAGGAACAGGCACAAGCTTTATATAAATGATACACAAATGTATTTTCTGAACGAACTGATCATTTACTGAATATCTTAGCACACTTTTTCTCAATGTGTTAAATGGGATCATGGCTATTTTTTGAGACAAGCTCCTGTTCCATCCCAATTATTCCTTTAGTATAAACCTGGACACAAGAAGGTTCAATACATATGAAGCCTGTATCCTAGTGAGGCTTATTTACTTTCATGAAAGTCTATCAGCACTTTTCTATGCTCAGTTGTACATCAAACCCATGGGTACCCTTCCCTGGCAACATAGCAAAACTGAGCTTCATATTCTTGACATAAAATATAGCCTTGATCTTTCTGATAATCATTTTTTCTTAAAGCTTGATTACACGAAATGAGGGGCGCCTGGTGATTTAGTCAGTTAAGCATCCGACTTTGGCTCAGGTCATGATCTCGCGGTTTGTGGGTTCAAGGCCCACATTGGGCTCTGTGCTGACAGCTCAGAGCCTGGAGCCTGCTTCACATTCTGTGTCTCCCCTCTCTCTGCCCCTCCCCTGCTCATGCTCTGCCTCTCAATAATAAGTAAATGTTAAAAACATTTTTTTTAAAAAGAAAGAAATTATACATATGCCAGACATAGATACATTCTTTTCTTGCCCCTTATTAAGAGAATTTTGCTTTTTCTATGGTTCAGCCATACATTTTGTTTACAGTCGCCACCATCTCAAACTTTCTTGCTTCTAGCAGTAGGCATGTGACTTAGTTCAAGTGACTGAAATGTAAGAGGAATTATAAGATATAACAGGTGGGTCTCTTGGAAATTTTTTTCAAAAGGACAGAATAAGACTGCATCTTTCTTCATTCTTCTTCCTGCTTAAAATAGGATACAATGAAGGTACAGGAAAACTTTTGTGACTGAATGGGCTAAAGGCACATGCTAAAGATTTCACAGCAACAGGATAGAATGCCTGGGTCCTCCATGATGCTAAGGAACTGCTGTGTCTTTTCTCCCTCACACTTTGTTACAGGAGTAGTACCCCTCATCTAAGCCCATGATGTTAAGTGTTCCACACTTCCAGCTGAATAGAATTCTAACTCACACAATATTCATGAAAGACTACTGAAAGCCATGTTTAAGGCAACCTGTGGTCCATAGAATACCATTAAATAAAGTACTGAGATCTGCAAGATAATAAGGACCTAATGTGACTTAACCATAGAAACTCCAAAATTAAGAGATATGCATTTTGTTAGATTTTATCCTTAGATCAAACTAGATAATCAGAAAGCTGCTTAGATAACATTGTTTTCTTGCCTTGTAAAATTTTACTCACTGATTTGCTTTCCTTCTTTGTTTATGCCACCAGGAAGTACAATACTTAATACATAATCACTTCTAATGACTATAGACTCCGGGACTTGATGAGATCTATTTTATATACTAATCGTAACTCTAACTTATCATCTTAACTTTATACTATCATCTTAATTTTATTTGTGGTCATATTTTCTCAGTTTTTATATTGGTCTATTATTATATAGGCTTATACACAGTTTCATTTATAGAGTAAGGCTGCTTATACAGAACAAAGTATCCTCTATACCACAGGCCATCCCGAACAAGTGAGCAGGAGTCGTTATTACTTCCAGCAGTGGACTGGTGTTTGGATGGCAAAACTATTCTCTGTAATAGCCCCACAAACTGCACAAATAACAGCATTCTTTCCCTTTCTGGTCTATCGATAGTGAAGTACACAATTTCTAATAATTTGTTAAAGAAATGGTCTTTGTTTTTGAGCACTCCCTCTCCATGTTAAAGACCTCAACACTATCTCAGAAAAAGTGTTCATTTCACTCCACATACAGTATCCTAAAAATTATGTATACAGCTTAGGAAATCCAAACCAACAATTACTTTTACCTTTAAGCGAGCTTTCTGAATTGCTTCAACAACAGTCTCCAAATGTTTCAGGTATTTTTCCATGACTGAACTAAAAATAATCAAGCCATCAATACATGTTATTGCAAAGGATCTCATTTTAGGCCACAAATAATCCATCATTTACTTGAAACTAACAATATTATTTTTTAAACACCCTTGAATTATCTCAACAGACTTTTCCAGAATATACCAGTTTATGGTCAGAACATGAAATAAGCTTTGTGCAAAATGATTTTTATCTACTTTTTTACTCAATAGGAAAATTCCACACTTAATATAATCCTCCATTAAATTAATTACAATAAATTGACACTTTAAAGATAAACAGCAAAATATCTTTTTTTTCTCCAGAAACTCCTTAACATACAAAAGCAAATATATTTGTTATTAATAATTTTGAAAGCAATATTTTAAAATAAAATCAAAATTCATGAATAATTATGGATAGTAAGTGGTTACTATTCTCCTTTTTTTTTAATTCAGTACCAGTTTCCAGAATATTCCATTATTGAAAAATGAGAAAATATCAGGGAAACACAGATATTTAGAGAGAATATTCCATGAAAATGGCAGTGGCAAATCTTAAACAATTCTCAAATTTCAAGAGTTTAATCTTTTTTTCACACCCCAAGTATTTTATTAGTTTTAGTACTACTTTTACAAGTTAAAAAAACAAAAACAAACAGCCCTCAAGTTCTATTAGCTTGTGTCTTCTCAGCATAGAAATTCTAATAGAAGAAGATTAGGTTTGAAAACAGCATTTATTTTCCTATAATCAGTTAAGGCCACCTGAACATCCATTACTGTCACTATTGCCTCTGCACATTAGAACAGAACACCCAGGATTTTTTACATACCTGTGCATCCCAAAGTGAGCAGAGAGGACCTCTGTGTGGGCAGTGGATCCAAGGGAATGGGTGAACCTGTCCTACCCCAGTTTAACACAATCAGGAAAAGAGGAATGGAGAGGGTAAAAAACTGGATGGATGCCATTGGAAGGTAGAGAATTTGCAGAGGTCCAGCCTGCCTGACGGGAATCCAGCATGCCATCAGTGAGAAATAAAGACAAGTTTTGAGGCAAGGGAGACAGAACTTGCCAAGTCAGCATTGAGCTTTTGGTAGCATAAAAGGCTACCTCTCCAACAGAGGAGATGGAAAGCAAAAGTGACAAGTGACTACCTAGTTGCCCCAGTTGATTGAGTCACAAGTTAAGGGATCCATTTCTCTCCAGCAGCACCTGAATTGCTAAGGAAAGATCTCTGGGAGGAAAGTGAAAGAGGCAGACAAGTTTATCAAAGGGCACTGAATGAACATAGGTCCTGATGTTTGTTTCAAGATTTCAGCAGGAGATCTCTCATGAACCTCTGGGAGTGCCTCACTTGAATATTCCCCTACTGGGCCAGTGGGCACCCCCCAAAGCCCCAGATGCTAAGTACACATCTTTCCCACCTCTGCAACTAGCTCTTGCAGCAGGAGAAATCACAAACTTGAGTAATAGTCACCTTCTAGTATGCAAAAGAAAGGATTCTAATTGCCAGACTGTTGAATTATAAGAGACAAAGTAAACATAAATCCTTACCTGAGGAAGGTCTTTGCTACTCTACATGTGAATCGTTAGACATCATGAAAAATCAAGGAAATAGGTGTCACAAAAAAAGAAAATAATTCTCCAATAACTTAACTCAAAGGCATAGAATATTGCAATCTAACTGATAAAGAATTCAAAATAGCTGTTTTAAAGAAATTCAATAAATTACCAAAAAACTCAGAAATAATACTGGTAAAGTCCTCCTTCTGTTGATTAAAGAGACTTAAATTATTAAAAAGAACCAAACAGAATTCTGGAGCTGGAGAGTACATTGGCAGCATTGGTAACAGGGCAGACCAGATAGAAAAAAGAATATGTGGCTTCAAGGATAGAAATATAAAAATAATTCAGTTCAGAGAAGAGAACAGTTTTAAAAAAAACTGTTCATTTAGAAAGCTATCAAATTCATTTAGGAAGTCAAATGCAAGAATCATCAGTGTACTAGAAGAAGAGAGGGAGAAGGGAGCAGAGTTTAAAGAAATAACAGCCAAGCATTTCTTAAACTTTGGGAAGGAACTGTACATAAAGTCCACAAAGTTAATACAACACCCTATTATTATAATGCAAAAAGACCTTCTCCAAGACCTAGTAAAATAAAGCTGTCAAAAATAAAGAAACTTAAAGGCAGTCAGAGGAAAAAGGAAATCTACAAAGGAACCCCCATTAGGCTACTAGCAGATTTCTCAGCAGAAACTCTATAGGCCAGAAGATAATGGAATGGCATATTCAAAGTATTGAAAAATAAAAATTGCCAGCCAAGAATGCTTTATCTGTCAAAGTTATGCTTCAAGTACAAAGAAATAAGGCTATCCTAGACAAAAGCTGAGGGAGTTCACCACTATTAGAACTGCCTTGCAAGAAATGCTAAAATGAATTCTTCATGCTGAAATTAAAAGATGTCAGTCAGGCAAAATGTGGACATAATGCGAGTGTCTATCCATAGATGAATGGATAAAGTAGTATGTATATATGAAGAAATATTACTCAAGCATAAAAAAAAAAGACTGAAATCTTGCCATTTGCAATGACATGGAGGAATCTAGAGGGTATAATGCTAAGTAAAGTAAATCAGAAAAATGTGGAACTTAAGAAGCCAAACAAATGAACAAACTAAAAGTGAAACAAACCGAAAAACAGACTTTTAGATACATAGAACTAATTGGTGGCTACCAGAGGGGAGGTAGTTGGGTGGATGCGTGAAATAGGTGAAGAGGATTAAGAGTACACTTATCAGGATACCTGGGATAGAGCTCAGTCAGTTAGGTGTCCGACTTCAACTCAGGTCATGATTTCACAGTTGGTGAGTTCAAGGCCCAAGTCGGGCTCTGTGCTGACAGTTCAAAACCTGCTTCCAATTTTGTGTCTCCCTCTCTCTGCCTCTGCCCCCACTCTCACTCTTTCTCTCAAAAATAAATAAAAACATTTTAAAAACTACACTTATCATGATGAGCACTAAGTAATGTATAGAATTGTTGAATCACCATATTGTACTCCTGAAACTAATGTAATGCTTTACCTTAATTATATTGGAATTAAAGAAAAAAGATGCTAATCAGGGACACGGAAACATACGGAAGTATACAACATTCTGGTAAAAGTGAAAAATAGAATTAGAAAACTGGAAATTTACTAGAATGGTGTGTTAACAAATTATAGTATAAAGGTTATAGGGAAAGAGCATTAAAAATGACTATAGCTACTATAATTTGTTAATGAATTCACAGCATAAAAAGAGGTAAATTGTGACATCAAAGTTGACATAAAAGTTGAGGAGCAAAAGGGCAGAGATTTTATTGGCAAATGAAGATAAGTTGCTATCAGCATATAATGGACTTTTTATCTATGAGATCTTTTATGTAAGCCTCATGGCAACTGTAAAGCAAAAATCTAGAGTAGTTCGGGAGACATAAAAAAAGTATTCTTATGGAAAACCACCAACTTACAAAGATAGTTAGAAACAGAGGGAAAGGAAACATTGGAGATACAAACAACCAAGAAGCAAATGACAAGAAGGTGGCAGAAAGTCCTTAGATATCAATAATCACTCTAGATGTAAATGGAAAGTAAAATGGTTGTTACTAGAGGATAGGGGTTAGGCAGATAGGACACATGTTGTTGAAGGTACAAACTTTCAACAAAGAGTAAATAAATCCTAGAGATCCAGTGTGTGGTATAGTAAATATAGACAACAATATTGTATTAATATCATCAAACTTGCTAAGAGACTAGAGCTTACTGATTCTTACCACTAAGATGAAAAGATAATTATGTAATGTAATAGAGGTGCTAATTATCTCTACAATAGCAATCATAACAATCTATAAATGTATCAGATTAACATGTACACTTTAAATTTATATACTGTTGTATGTCAAATATATTTCAGTAATAAAGTTCTTGGTCTTATGTGAATTAAAAAAAACATTTAGCTCTGATTTTGCATGTGTAAATTTCATTTTTTAATTTTTAACAAAGTCTAGGTAAAAGTTATTCACACATTACCATCCAACAGACTTTGTATACAGAATTTTACATTTTTTCCTTCTTTTAAATTTTAGCATGAGTAGTGAACAGATAACTAATACTTATTTCTAATGTTGCAAAATCTTTAGGGTGTAAATTTACAACATGGCCTCAGAATTATTAGATATTTAGAAGTAGAACTATTTCAAGCTAATAATTTTTTATATATATAAGAACTCCAAGAATAGTAATTTCTAATGACACATCAAGTCTTTTTTCCTCCTTTAGGTAAGGAATGAGAACAGAATCATTGTGTCATGTTTTCCACTTCAATATCTTCCTCCTACACATTAAAATGTCTCAGTAGTATTCTGGGTAAATACATTATAGCTTATGATTAGAAAACATTAATCAATAATAATAATGATATTTTGGGGGTTTGTGTGTGTGGATTAAAAGGTTGCTGACACTTGATTACTTCTCTAAGTAATTGGTGATGTAGTTTGGTTTAAGTTGCCCATTTTCCTATTTTTTTCTATTGGTGCCATCTGTTCTTTTTCACTTATTTTTCCTTTATTCTACCTTCTAGTATTACTTATTAATCCATATAGTCTTTTATATTCCACTCTATCTTTTCTATTGGCTTTACAGCAATACTTTAAAAATAATTGTTAATTGGTAACTCTAGAGATTTCATCATATATCCTTATTATAGTCCAGTTTGAGTTACTATTTTACCATTTAACACATAGAAATGTACCTTGCAATAGTATATTCCTATTTTTTTACTCACTGCCCTTCATGCCATTGGTGTCCTACTTTTTACTTTTCCCAGTCAGACCAGGAAAAGAAAAGTGAAGATAGCTTAAGGGACTAATGAGACATCAAGCAGACCAATATTTGCATTATAGGAGTCCTAGAAGGAGAACAGAGTCAGAAAGGGGCAGAAAATTTATTTAATGAAATAGTAGCTAAGAACTCCCTTAATGTAAAGAAAGAA